GTTTCTGTCCCATAATTCTACATCAGCAACATCATCGTGTCACTTCTCCGCCTTATTTTTGTGACAATAATAGGCTGTTAAGACGTACCACCCAGTTTCTCGACCTACTGCTTGTTGACTGTACTGTATCATTACAAGGATCACTAGGCCATTACCATTGGCGCATAATCCCCATCATCGCTCCTAGAACAAATTGAACATACAATCTAGTGTTACTTCTGCCAGACTGTGAGCATCTATTTTTAAATCTTAATTCTAGCATTTAATGTATGTGTGATTTTCGTGATCTTTAGTTCTGCAAAAAATGCTAAGATAGACTTCTATGCTTTATTATGAGGTTCCCATTTAGGTCATAGCTATGGCGTTTTTTGATCTATTTCTGCTCTTTTGAACAGACTGTCGATGTTCTGAGACACCAGTGGGCTTACAGTTGTGAGAAGGCCAAGGCGGAGCTGGGTTATACCCCGAGAAGCTTCAAAGATGGTCTTACAGAAATGCTTCCCTGGTTGAAGAACTTGGGCTTGATTAAATATTAGGATGCTGATCTGAATTTTGCATTGCAGGTTTGAAGTTGATATGTAAATTGTGATCCTTGAATATTCTGTTGCAGCATTATGAAATATATTATGTTGTTTACGGTTTAAGCTTATTTTTATGTTTTTACCTGAATAAGTCCGATGTGACTTGTTCAACAGATCATTTGGATCAAACTACTTTTTAGTTGTTATCATTTGAAACTGGAAGTTATATTACCTCAACCACGCTATTTTCAATCATATGTTGCAACCACACTAAGGGTCCACTTGGCAAGGCTTCTGCTCTTTATAGAAGAGCTTTCTTAAGTAACTATCTTAAACCAACTAAGGTCTCGATCAAGGCACCGGTATTCTCTTGCCATAGCTCTAATTCGAATGGGGTGTTCTTCCACTATTCATGTGGTTCAAACTCAATGAAAAGATGTGGGCTTGACTTAAATCCAAGTGAGTCAATGAAATGGATTCTTCTAAAAGCTTTTTTAGCAAAACAAATACTTTTAGAAAACTATACAAATATATTCAAAAATAGCTTTTTAATTTTAGAAGTAACTTTTGACTTTTCAAAAGTTTGAGTCCTAAATTGCACGATAATTAAAATTAGAATCCGATTTCAATTGAACTCTTATATAATTTAAATTCATATGAAGATAGATTTGTATTAAAAACAAATTCTTAGTTTCCAACATCCAATCTTTATCTCTTGCTAGGGTGTTCTAGTTGCGGTAAAAGACTCCTTATTCATAATGATCCAAGTTCTCAGAAACAGCAAGTATGGCAGAATCAAAAGTGAGATTGAAACTTCTGATCGATACAAAAGGCAAAAGGGTTTTATTCGCTGAAGCTGGAAAAGACTTTGTCGATTTCATATTTCATGTTCTCGCTTTGCCATTAGCTACTGTTATTAGGTTACTTGGAAAACAAGAAATGGTGGGCTGCTTGGGAAACCTCTATGACAGTATCGAGAATTTGAGTGATTCCTACATCCAAGTGGGTCAGAATAAGAACATCCTTTTAAAACCGATGCCACCTACTTCAGTTCCTATTTTACTTCTTAATGATAAGCCGACAAGGAAGATCTTTTACAGATGTGGTAACTGTTACAGCAGTAGTAACAATGTTACCGACAACCCAACTGCAGCTTGCCCCAATTGTAACCACCTCATGAACAGGACTTTGAACTACGTTGCTCCTCCCGGCACTGTGAACAAAGGGTCGAACGAAGGCAAAGGATTCGTGAAAGATGTTGTGATTTACATGGTAATGGATGATCTAATGGTGAAGCCTATATCCAATATTTCTAGCATTGCTTTGCTTAACAAGTTTAATGTCAACGAATTGGCTGCACTGCAGGAGAAGGAAGTAAACTTTGGGTTGAATGAGATAACAGTCTTGAACAACAACAAAATATACCATCCCCGTAGTTAAAAATTAGATATTTAAGTGTTGTTTGACAAGAGTTTTGAGAAGTAAAAATGAGTTTTTTAGACTTGTTTGATTGATTTTATGAAAGTGGTTCTTCTATTTAAAATTTTTTAAAGAAAAAGTTGGTTCGATATGCTTTTCTCTAAAAACACTTCCAGAATAGAAAAGTCTTTTAAAACTTAGTTTTTTAACAAAAATTAAAGTGGCTATTTTAGGAAGTTCTTCTTCGGGAAGAAAAGCAAAAGCAAACACAAATGTTATGTCAAATGGAGCCTTAGTAGATTTTGAAGTTGATAAAATGTTTGGTCGAAAAATTGAAAAAAATTATGGATTTGAGTAAGATTAAAAATGAGTTTGAGAAAATGGAGCCAAACATAAACTAATGTTCTTGATTCATTATATTATGTTAATTTTCTCT